CAGCCCGAATGCACATGAGGGCTTGCAGCACCTGCAGCGTAAGGAGGATCTTCACTCTTATCCGCGGGACGTTGTGAGCTGCATTCGAGTCACAGCATCATTCCGGGTCTCAGCAACCCCTGGGAAGAGCGGCCCATGTTCCTGGGGTTGGTGCTAGATGCGGCGGCATGGCTTGAGCAACTCATGGCGCCCACGTGCAAGCTCAACCACAACCCTTTTTATTGCATGATATAACAACTTGAAGTGCTACTAGCTACTTCTTTGGAGTATAGAACGCAGCTTGCACTCGTGCAGAAACCCAATAGCCAACTCTGAGAAACTATCATACTGGTAGGAGCATGCTCTGTTTGATGCTGGTACTTTTTAATATACTTGCATACATGGAGAATACAGAGGGACAGGCTGCAGCAATCGAAAGAGAATGGGGGCATGCACTAGGGGTTGTCTTGCAGCAAGCGACGCAGCAGTGAGAGCTGCAACACATGCGATGCCTCTTCGTCTCCAACCGGGCTGCAGAGAATGTAGAAAAGCTCAGCTGTTTTGGGGGGAGCAGTTGAGCTATTAGGCCTTTTGTCTCTGTTGTTATTTTTATTATATTACGCACTTGGACTCTGTTGTTATATTTATTATATTACGTATTACTGGCTTTGCTGTTTTTTTTTTATATAAACATTGTTCTTAATGTTGTTGTCTATACACTGCAGCTCACGAGGAGTCTCGCTGGGTGACCTCAGTTGAGCTGAATCTCAAGCCCACGTGTTACACCCGCTTGCTGCTGCTTTTGTTGCGGTGCTGCTGCTGCTGCTGCTGCTGCTGCTGTCACTGCTGCTGCAGCCTAGGTGGGGATCTATACTTTTTCTGTGCCTTCAGCAGCAGACAGGGGGGCTGCTGCTCGCTGCTGCTGCTGCACAAGGCTGCTGTGAGCTTTATAACTACTAAAGCCGCAGCAGCAGCAGCTGCTGCTACACCAACGTAGCAGCAGCGGCTGCTGCTACACCAACGTAGCAGCAGTAGCTGCTGCTGCTATGACTGTATGGCAGCAGCAGCAGCAGCAGCTGCTGCTGCTGCTGCTGCTGCTGGAGCAGCATTGGGATGAGGTCTAGGCCTCAGCAGCAAGCAGTTGTTTATGCACATAACACCTGAAATACACACAAATAGGAAAAGCAGCAACGAGCACCTCAAGCATAGAACAGGAGAC